CCCCAAAACCCCAAAACCCCAAAACCCCAAAACCCCAAGATCAACTATGTTGTTGAATAGCTTCAATTTTACAATTAATTACTTCTTCTTGAACTTGTATATTCTTTTCCAAAAGTTTCCTCGCCCATAACACTTTTTCTGAATAATTTGATCGAATGATGTGTTTGCTCTCCCTGAGTGTGTAAATTTATTATCTTTCAAATCCAATGATTTATCTTGTCTGCTTCAAGGCCTTTTATTTAAACTGATGCCTGGGTATAATCGTTCATTCGGCACTAAAACCTTATTTAACTTCAAGACTCGTATGTCTCTTCTCTCAATCATTCACATCTCTATTCTGACTGACCTGTGGAGATTTCTCCACATTATGGAACGATGTTAGCTGATCCCCATCCTCCTGATGCCCATCTCTCATTCTATTAATCTTCTTCTTAACCAAACTAGCATGGTTTTCCCACTTTATCCTAAGTCTTTTCTCTTTAAGCTTTCTCTTCTGTTCAAATTCTTCTTCACAGATCATCTGATGTATATATTTCTGTATTTTATCCTTCTGAAAAAGCTCCATTTTCCTGACGATCTTATTTGTCCCTCTCCTTCTTTAGGAAATCAGCTTTTGAGATCCTGACTTTGCCCATATTAGAGATACTGAACTTGATCTTTGTCCCTGAATTTTGGATCTGGTTGTACTCGTTAGTCTTCTGAAGTTTCTGAAGACCGATTAGTTGTTCAAGCTTCCCGAAGTTTAGCTTTCCTATGGGGATGTTGTCAGAATCGCCATGTTCAGACCTTTCTTTGATGGTAACTGAATTCTTTATTGTGTTTACGATACTTCCTTTACGCTTATTTATCCTGACCCTTGAGCGTATTTTTCTTTACTTTTAGAAAAGTTGACTTCCTCTTTATTGATTTTGAGGGAGAAATAGCACATTTACAGTATGGAACTTCCTTCTCGACCTCATGCTTGATATGACACAGCTTTACTTTTATAAAATCATCAGAATTTGGAGGCTTTTTAGGAAGAGTTCATCGAACTCACCTCTCTAGATTCTTCACAGGGCTAGAGTCTGATTGGGATTCTTTATTACATTCAGTCTCCAAAGAGCTATTTGTGTTATTCCCAATCACACTATAAGTTTTGGTAGTCTCATTATTTATTTTTATAGATTTTATAATTTTCCTTGCTTGGCATCTGATGTGCTTTGCAAAGTTCCTCTTCAGCCTTCTAATAATTTTATTTTAAGTTGATTTTATTTCTCAGTTTTTGAGTTAAATTGATCCGAGAGATTATGAAGTTGATACAGGATACTCCTATTCTCATTTTCTTTGACTTCTTCTAATCCAATTTCGGATTCGTTAGAGTCTTTAGTAAACTTATTTAGGGGACTTTGATTTAGTTTTCTTCAATGTTGGGTCTAGTATATCAAACAATTCTGCAAAATCGCTACCTTCCATGCTGCTCTATAGTTATCTTTCAGTTAAGAATTATACAATTTAGACAAGGATAGTCAATGTTAAAGGAAAAATACATTTTGAGAGCCACCATCACTATTTGATTTCCCAGAAATATGAAACTGATAACTTTCAAAAGAAGAGTCTGTCATTTTTAATTTTATATTATTTCAAATTTGGCTATTTTCAGGGGTTTTGGGGTTTTGGGGTTTTGGGGTTTTGGGG